AGCCTACTGTTGACTGGAAGCCTTACCAATGACATTAACAGTTGATTAACACATACTTTGTATGTATTATATACTGTATTCTTAAAGTAAGCTAGAGAAAAGAGAATGTTATTAAGAAAATCGTAAGGTAGAAAAAATACATTTACAGCATGTACTGTAAAAAATCTGCATATATGTGGAGCTGTGCAGTTCAAACCAGTGTTGTCCAAGGGTCAACTGTGTATCCTATGCAGTATTTTTTTAAATAAAGGGAAAAGCTTTACATGTTTGCTTATCGTTGCAGGAAGGACGACAGGAAGGATAAGCCAGGGTGACAGAAGATATTTGGGAGAGAGTGGCATTCTCTGAGAACACTTCTTGTATAGTTTTGACTTTGAAAAGTATGCTGATATTCTACATATTCAAAAACAAAATCAGAGTAGAGAAAAATAGGAAGGGGGATAAAGATCTCTGTCAGCCAACTAAAACAAAGCAATCCAGTTGTATTGCAAATGAGCAACATAACCTTGGTAAGGAGAAGAAAACAGAGGGGGGAAAGAAAGAAAACTAATCCCAGTAACTCATGAACATGAACACAGTCTTTAAACAAATATCCTGAGTCCAGGAAGAGTGGATGGAAGAATTGCAAACAAGTCCTGAACTCCTTTCCAAAATTTTGTTTTAACTATAGTAGTATCAGCAAAGCAATTGTGACAGTGCTTTAGATGTGATACAGGGTTGAACAAATGATTGAATGTGTTGATGTTGGAAGCCAAGGTTATCACTGTGGAAGAAGGGACATGCAGGAGAGATGAGAAAGAACCTGGGTGGTAATCTGGAATTGCAGGAATCAGTATGGGCTTACGATTTCTAACCTATGTACACGTTTGGGTATAAGCACATTTCTGTGATGATATATCTACATATGTGCATATATATGTGTGTGTGTGCATATGTCTGTGTATACGCACATATACATGAGTATGTCTCTCATGTGCATATATTCCCAACTCTTTCTGCTGAAAAGGCCAAGGACGCTCCATTGGCAATGAGCACCTCGTCTTAGTCTCCAATACTATTCCTCATTAGAGGAACCAGAATCCCTTATAGAAATGGCTTATTCAAGGGCTGGTGTGACATGAGCCAAAACATCTTGTCATACCACAAAGTAATGAAATGCTCAAAAAAATGATGGCAGCATGTCAAAAGGCACCAGATGGAAGGGGCTACCAATGATCACATCAGGGACAGTTTGAGCATCAAAATAATTCAGTATAGTAATGAATTCTAAATCACTGAACACAAGGAACCTGTGAGTCGTACCAATAATAAATAGGTAAATAAGTGAGAAAGAATGGAGTCTGCCTCCAGTAGAAAGCTGGGGGTGAATGGTAAATATGGAGATATTGGTAGAATTGGAAAGTCATTTGGAGTAGGCAGGAATCATCTATGGATGTTAAATCTAGGGGGAAATTGTAATGAGGAGCAGAATATTTACACTGCCTTAAAATGTCTTTCCATGAAGACACTTCCTTAGCAAGGAAAGGAAAAAAAAAAAAAACAGTGACTAAGTGGTATAGAAACTAGGCAATACATCAACCAGGTAACCAAGGGTAACATCACCAACGAGGGACAGGAGGATATTGTGATTCTCCAAACCATCTACGCTAAGAAGGACACATCACCTATGTGGTAGCCCAGCCATGAATGCCTAACCTCAATATAATCCTGAGGAGAAAACATCACTTGAGTACAAGATGTGAAATGTTCTATTTAAAAAATAAAAAGAAGAGTTGAGAAAGAGAGGAGAATATTGTTCAAAAAAAATCAATGTCATAAAAGGTGAAGGAACTCTGGAAATGTTCATATTAAAGGAGGCTAATGACTCATGACATGCCTGCCTCCAGCCTGGATCCCACACTGCAGAGAAAATACACCAATACTGTGTCGGTTGGCAAATTGGAACATGGAAGGTATATTAGCTAAAATATTGTATCACTGTAAATTTTTAGAGCTTATCAGTGAACTAGAATTTCATAAGAGATTATCTTCATTCTTAGAAAATATACACTGAGGTATTCACAGATAAAGAGCCATAATGTATGTCACTTACTTTCAAATGGCTTGGAAAAAATACTGTGAGAACAAATAATAAAGCAGAGGGGACAAAAAGTTTAAAAATAGGCGATTTCAGTAATGGGTGTTTGGGTATTCTTTGCACTATTTTTGTTTTTGCATTTTTTTATAAATTTGAAATTATTTCCATACAAAAATTTTTTTTAATAAAAAGCATCCTGCCTATTTTTTTTCAACGTTTTTTATTTATTTTGGGGACAGAGAGAGACAGAGCATGAACGGGGGAGGGGCAGAAAGAGAGGGAGACACAGAATCGGAAACAGGCTCCAGGCTCCGAGCCATCAGCCCAGAGCCTGACGCGGGGCTCGAACTCACGGACCGTGAGATTGTGACCTGGCTGAAGTCGGACGCTTAACCGACTGCGCCACCCAGGCGCCCCAACATCCTGCCTATTATACAGAATCATAGATCATTAGTAATAGTTGCAATGAGTCCTTTTTATTTTGCCCCAAATGCTGCCTTGACATGGTGTAGCCATGGCGTGGTGGAAAGAACACCAGACTTGATGTCAGAAATCATGGTTTTGACTTTGGAAAGGCCATTTAAGGTCTTTATAACATGGTTTGTACATTTATAATGTTCAGAGAATGAGACACACTTCAGAAGCAAGGATTTTAAAATTAAAGATACTACATAAAATCTACAGTGTCATATAAACTTCAGGGAAGGTCAGCACAACCCCTCCACCTGAAGTTCAAGGTAGAAACCTTGGCCTCATCCTGAAATGTCACCCCCTCTCCCCCTATTTATCAGACCCCAAGTCTTATCTTGTCTGTCTCTCCCCTCTGTCCTCTTCCCTCCACCTCCATTGCTATAAACTTTGGTCCAGTTCTCATCTCCTCCTGGCTGCACCAGAGCAAGAGTGTCCTAAGGGTCTCCCAGCCACAGTAACAACCCCTCTGATGCATCCTCAGGGCAGCTCAAGATCATTCGAACAGGTTAGTGATTGTGTCATTCCTACTTCTACTTCTTAGGTTCCTTTAAAGCAATGATTCGGACCTTTTCTGAATGCAATTTGTCAAAGGGGCTCCCTAAATTCTCTCCGTTGAGCCTAAATTAAGAACCCAGGTTTTATGGTTCCTCATTTTCCTTCACGTCTGGGTCCTGCCTCCCTCTCCATTCTCATTTTCCTCCTTCCCTCCACCCACTTCCTAATCTCAGCCACTTACAGTCCATGGAACCCTCCTGTTGCTCACTTCTTGGCTTTAAACATCCAGTTGACCATGCCTGGAATAGTGTTGCCACTTCTTGGCTTGGCCAATTCCCAACGATCCTGCAATTTTTCATCCAAAATTGCCTTGTCTGGGAAACATTTCCTGACTCAATCTGGCCAAATTAAGGGCCTTCCTCTATGGTTCCACAGCACCCTTGCACACCTCTCCCCTGGCTCTTCTTATGCTGGACTTTCTGCCACCAGACTGAACTTCTGAGGATGGGACAATGAGCACACCTCCAGCCCTTGGAAACATACCTAGCACATCACAGGTACTCAATATGTGGTGAATGCACAAATGAAATATGAAGGAGAGGCATCATTATTAAGACCTCATTCCTCTTCCTGTTCTCCCAAAAGGACAACTGCCAATAATCAATGATGACATAAAGACAGGAAGAACAATATAACTAGAATGCTGATATGATCCAAAAAATTCCCTCTTAGCCATTTGGCTCAATATCTTTGCCCTTCAAGCATTTTTGCAGAGCATGGGGAAAATGTCATCAATACTGCAACTCCTAATCCTCTGCACATACTCTAACAAAGATGGTCCCTAAAAGAAACTACATTGTAAATTCAGAAGGATAAGTTGTTGTCTTAACACCCACTGACCATATTAAAAAGGTCAACATAGGTCTACCCAAGTCGGAATCTCTGCCCTGAAATTCCAAGGCACTTAAAATGTCATTGGACTGTAAATCCAAATACTTGTTTACTCATGGGAACAATTAGCTTTTGTGAAGGAAATCAGCAGCCTGTTCATCCCTCATAAAGATGATCTTGATGGAAATAGTAAAATGGCCAAAGAGTAGGAAACAATAAGTAAACTTGAAAAAAAGAGATAATCATTTGCCTAAATCTATAAAAAAATTAGAGGCAAAAAGCACACAAGGTTTAAATGTTTTCTTTTAATATAAGGGTAGACACTAGAGGATTAGAAATAGGCTGTTTTACTTACAAACAATTAGAAGGGAAAAATAGAACAAATAAAGTTTAAGGAAACAATTACAAAAAGGAATAGTAAAAGGGAGAAATAAATTCAAGCATGACAGTAATCATAATATATGCCAATGAGTTAAATCTTTATAATAAAAGATAGAGTCCCAGATTCGTAAGGCAAAAAAAAGCCTGTCAAATGCTTTTTAAGAGGGGTAGACCCATAACAAATGACAAGAAAGTTTGGAGAAAAAAATAAGAAAAGACATACTAGTCAAATGTAAAAGGAAAGAAAGGTAAAGGAAGGAAGAAAAAAAAAGGTGGAAACAAATGTAAGGGAGAAGGAAAGAAACATCAGGTATAGTAATACTGATGCCAGATAAAACAGAATTGAAACAAATACATTCCAGATTGAAGAAAAACATGAAAATACATGTAAAAATAAAGATTTTAAGACTATAAAAAACAAAACTGATAGAAAAAGAAGAAAGATACATTCATTGTCAAATGGAAAGCATTAAAATACCCATGTGTTAGTGATGAAGTTTTGGGGTAATGGGGGTTTGTGGGGTCCGGAGCTGACGGCCAAGAAAGAATTCTTGAAGACGTCTTTGGTGCAAAAAGGTGACTTTATCAAAGCATGGGGACAGGACCCAGGGGCAGGAAGAGCTGCACTGGGGTCCTGCCAGGTAACTCATTATATACCCTCGGGTTGGGAGGGGGTCAGGGATAGAGTAAGTCTCTAAGGAATTTTAGAAGCAAGGTTTCCAGGACCTTGAGGCGCTAGCGGTTGCTAAATAAACACCATTTACTACCATTTAATAAAACCTCAGTTCTGAGACCCTTTAGAAGTATATCAGGGCGGGGGGGGGGGCATAAGCTTGGAAGATGATTGCCAGCACATATCTTGGGGCAGCTGAGATAGAGGAAGTTGACTTACAGGATCCTCGAGGTTGGGGTAACGTTAAGCTAAGGTTCTCTTTTGCCCCCAGCAAAGTGCCATCCTTGAGGCCGCTGAGCTCCTAGAGAGAGGTCACTCTGCAGGTTTCAAGGACTTCTCAATGGGCTGTAGGCAGTAGGGGAATTTTTCTTTTTTTTTTAACCTTTATTTATTTTTGAGACAGAGAGAGACAGAGCATGAACGGGGGAGGGGCAGAGAGAGGGAGACACAGAATCTGAAACAGGCTCCAGGCTCTGAGCCATCAGCACAGAGCCCGATGCGGGGCTCAAACTCACAGACCACGAGATCACGACCTGAGCTGAAGTCGGAGGCTTAACCAACTAAGCCACCCAGGCACCCCTAATTTTTCATTTGCCTTAGTTTCCCACATTACCATGGCAAGCACTTAAACCCCTTGCCTTTGTTCTTGGGGAGCTGGGAGTGTCCAAGGAGCATCACACAGATCCCACCTGGGGTGGGGCAGGGGTGCTAGCTTATGCTTTGCCCCTCAGCCTGCCTCATGCTCCTTCATCATTAGTAAACAAGAATAAGTAAAGACAAAGAATATTTCACTAACAGAATTAAGAAGTTTGACCTAATAAATAAAAAGAGAACTTTAAAGTCCATAAACACTGATAATACACTCTTTCCAAGGAAAAATGTACCCTGCCTCACAGAGTTGGTATGAGAATGAAATGAGTTAACATATGGAAAATACTTAGTGTGTGGCACATAGTAAATACTCAATAGGCATATGCCATTGTTGTTCTAAAAACCCGCCACTGAAAGTGTCAACAAATTCTACAAGGAAAAAAGTGAAAAGGCTGTAGCCACTGACCACAATTAGAAAGTAGCAGTAGGAAGATAGCAATAATATTCTATCTACATGGGGAATTTAGAACAGACTTACAAAGACCTCTAGATTAAACAGAAAATCAAAATGAAATTTATAAATTATTTAGAAATGAATGACAATAAGAATATAGAGGTTAATACCTCTGGGATAGGCCATAAAAGTACTCAAAGAAAAATGTGTAACTTAAGTTTATATGTTATAAAACAAAGAAGATAAATAAGGGAAACCCGTGGTTTTATTAAACAAACCAGCAAAAAAAAAAAAAAGTCCTTATCTGCTAGAAATACAAACTCAAGTATTCAATTGAAAAATATGACATCTGGGACTTGCTTTAAAATACTCCAGAAAGACAAGTTTAAATGTAGAGGAAAGAAGATGAAACACATTCAGAAGAAACTTGATGTCTGTTGAAACTAGGTGATTGATGCCCAGGGATTGTTTTTGTAGCAATCTTCTCTGCTTCCATGTATGTGAAACTTTCCGTATTAAAAGTATTTTAGTTTCATGTGTAAAAAAAAGTATTTAAAAATGAACTAACCAAAAACAAGTCACAAAAATAATAGCAAAGAAACCTTAAAAATTGGAAAAAAGAAAATTGTAATGATAAAAAACAAAAATTAAGAAAAATTATGTAGTATACTTCATCAGTAAATCCAAAATTTGATTTTTTAAGTAAACAACTATTTGACTACTTGTTAATAATTGAGATGTCATTTGTTATAATTACAAAAACAAAAGGCAATTATAGATGTTAAAAATTATAAAAATCTATCATGTGTAATTATATCTCAATAAATTTGGAAATCTGGATGAAATAGATCATTTCCTAGAAAAAAAGCATAAGTCATTAAAACTGACTTCAAGAAATGGGTTTCTTAAAAAATCTAATAATCCTGACCAGGTTGTATTTATTTATGTAAGAATGGTTCAATACATAAAACTCAATTAATTTATTATACCATATTAACAGAATGAAGGGGGAAAAACACATGATCATCCCAATAATATAGGACAATCATCTGACAAAATTCAATACCCTTTTATCATAAAAAATACTCAACAAACTACATATAGAAGAAAACTATCTCAAGATATAAAAGCCATATATGAAAAGCCCAAAGCTAATATCATATTCAATAGGAAAAGACTGAAAGCTTTTCCTCTAAGATCAGGAACAAGACAAGGATGCCTGCTTTCACCACTTCTATTCAACATAGAACTAGAAATACTAGCCAGAGCAATCAGGCAAGAAAAGAAATAAAAGGCATCAAAATTGGAAAAGAAGTAAAATTATCTCTGTTTGCAGATAACGTCATCTTATATGTAGAACTCCCCCACCGAACACACACACAAACTATTATAACTACTAAATACAAATACAGCAAAATTACAGTATACAAAGCCAATACACACAAAATCCACTGCATTTCTATATACTAACAATGAACAATTCAAAAAGGAAATTTAAAAAACAATTCTACTTACAGTAGTATCAAGGAGAATAAAATACTTAGGCATAAATTTAACTAATGAGATGAAAGGTATGTGCACTGAAAACTACAAGATACTGCTGAAAGAAATTAAATACATAAATGAATTAAACATCTCATGTTTAGGGGCACCTGGGCATCTGACTCTTGATCCCAGGGTTGTGAGTTCAAGCTCCACAATGGGTACAGGCCCTACTTTTTAAAAATCTCATGTTTATAAGTTGGAAGGCTTAATATTGTTCAGATGTTAACATTCCCAAAATTACCTACAGATTTACTGCAACCCCTATTAGAATCCCAAGAACAATTTTTGCAGAAGTAGAAAAAAAAATTATCCAACAACATTAATATGGAATATCAAGGGACCCTGAATAGTTAAAAAAAAAATCTTAAATAAAAACAAAGTTAAAGAACTTAGATATATCATGGTTGCAAAACTTATTTAAAAGCTACAGTAACCAGGGGCGCCTGGATGGCTCAGTTGGTTAAGCATCCAACTCTTGATTTTGGCTCAGGTTATGGTCTCATGGTTGTGAGATCAAGCCCCACATCAGGCTCCACACTTGGAGCCTGCTTTAAATTCTCTCTCTCCCTGTCCCTCTGCCCCTCCCCTGCTCTCTCTCTCGAAAAACAAAACAAAACAAAACAAAAAACAAAACGAAACAAGATAAGACAAAATGCTACAGTAATCAGAAGAGTGTGGTACTAGCCTAAACAGACATATAAGCCAATGGAATCGAATAAAGAGCCCTGAAATAAGCCCTCACATCTATGGTTTAATGTTTTGTTTTGTTTTGTTTTGTTTTGTTTTGTTTTGTTTTGTTTTGTTCAGAAAAGGGGCTAACAATCTTTAATGGAGAGAGGACAGTCAATTCAACAAATGGTCTTGGAAACCTGGATATCCACATGCAAAAGAATAAAATTAGACCCTTATGTTACACTACATACAAAAATTTCAATGGATCAAAGACTTAAATATAAGACCTAAAACAATAAAATTCTTAGAAGAAAACACAGGGAGAAATCTGCATCACATTAAGTCTGACAGTGATACCTTGGATATGAAACCAAAGGAACAGGTAACAGAAGTAAAAACAGATATTGGATTAAAATGAGATGAAAAACTTCTGTGCATCAAAGGACACAATCAACAGAGTGAAAAGGCAACCTACATAATAGGAGAAAATATCTGTAAATCATACATCCCATAAGGAATTAATATCCAGAATAATAAAGAACTCCTAACTCAATAGCAAAAACAAAAACCAAGTAACTTGACTTAAAATGGGCAAAGGACTTGAATAGACATTTCACCAAATAATATACAGAAATGGCTGGCAAGTATATGAAAAGATGATCAGCATAATTAATCATTAGTGAAATGCAAATCAAAACTATAATGAAGAGGAAGGCTCAAGATGGAAGAAAGAAAAGCAGATTAAAAGAAAGGAGGGTGGTTTAATGGGCCTCTGAGACATCAAGCATCCTCATATCCTTATTATAGCACCCCAGAGGAAAAAAGAGAAAGAGGCAGGAAAGTTCTTTAAGACTAATAGTGAAAACTTTCCTAACCTGGAGAAGGAAACAGAAATCCGGGTCCAGGAAGCAACAGTTCACAACAAGATGAATCCAAAGAGATACACACCAAGATCCATCAGAAATAAAATGTCAAAAATTAAAGAGAAAGAGAAAATTATAAAAACAGCAAGGGAAAAGCAATTAATTATGCATAGTGAAACCCCCCATGAGACTCTCATCTAATTTTTCAATAAAAAATTAACAGACCAGAATGGAGTGGTAAAATATATTCATAGTACTGGCAGGGAAAAAACCTATAACCAGAAACACTCTATCCAGCAAGGTTATCATTCAGAATTGAAGGGTAGGTAAATATATCCCAAACAAGCAAAAGCTAAAGGAGTTTATTATCACTAAACAGGCAAACAGGCTTTACAAGAAATAATAAGGGACTTCCTCAAGCAGAAAAGGTCATAACTAGAAGTAAAAAAAAAAAAAAAAAAAAACATAGGAAAGAAAAAAATTTCATAAATAAAGGCAAACATAAAAATAGGGCAGTGGATCAATCAACCACTTAGAAAGTGAGTAAGAGAATTAAAAGACAAGAGTGGTAAAAATCAACTAAATCTACAATAGTGACTTAATGAGTAAACTAAGGAAAAAGATATAAAATATGGCATCAAAAATATGAACATAAGCAGGGGGGTAAAATGTAGTGCTTTCAGAATGCATTTGAACTTAAATGACCACCAAATAATTTTTTCCATGTTTTATTTATTTATTTATTTATTTTTTAATTTTTTTTCAATGTTTATTTATTTTTGGGACAGAGAGAGACACAGCATGAACGGGGGAGGGGCAGAGAGAGAGGGAGACACAGAATCGGAAACAAGCTCCAGGCCCTGAGCCATCAGCCCAGAGCCTGACGCGGGGCTCGAACTCCCAGACCGCGAGATCGTGACCTGGCTGAAGTCGGATGCTTAACTGACTGCGCCACCCAGGCACCCCTTCCATGTTTTATTTAAATTCCAGTTAGTTAACATAGTGTAACATTAGTTTCAAGAGTAAAACCCAGTGATTCATCACTTACATACAACACCCACTGCTCATCGCAACAAGTGCCCTTCATATTTCCCATCACCCATTTAACACATCCCCCTGCCCACCTCCCCTGGGTTTGTTCTCTACAGTTCAGAGTCTGTTTTATGGTTTGCCTCTCTTTCCCCCCATCT